TGTTTTAATATAGATCACAATTTAATTATTTTAAATTAACAATCATTATTATAATTATTGATTTTATTTATAAAATGTTAAAGAATATTATATAAAAGTACTATAAAAACAAGTGAGTGAAAAAAATCTGGCTCGTTTTTAATTATAATAAAATATAATATTTATTGTTATATGTTATAAACATTTAAAATACAGTCGAATTAGGTCTAATTGTGATAGTATTTTTTATGAAAGTGATATGATTTTTATAAAATGTACAACATTTTTGATAAAAATGATGAATTAATTGAGAAGTGATAGTAATTTGTTTGAAAAATTATGAGTATTTTTTATAAAAGTGATAAATAATCGTAAAAAATGATGATTTATGGTAAAAATGATGGGAAATTATATCAAAAGTGATGGATTTTTCTCAGAAATGATGCAATCTATAAGAAAGTGACCAATAATATTTTGAAAAAGTTTATGATTTTTAACACTTGTGACAGATTATTTTATAAATATATAAATGTCGTTAATTACGGAAACTTCCCGTTATTTTAAACAAAAATAAAATAAACACAAATAAACATAAAATATTACAAAAGATGTGTTTACATTGTTTTTTCTTTAAGTTATTTGAACTACAAAAACAACTTTGATTTAAATAATAATCAAATGTCTCGTTCACTCACATATCTTGATGCAAGAGATCCAATTGTTCGAAGCGATTATATAGAAAATTCTCCACAACTTCTACAAGTTGAAGTTGTGGAATCACGGCGTATTATTCCTTTTATACCACCACAATCTGAAAAAAGAAAAAGAGGATGACCAAAAAAGAATGTAACAAATATTACACAAGTCAAAAGATCATACAATAGAGTATTGCTTTCTGATAAGTTTGAATTAATTAAATTATTTCGAATATATAGAGATACTGTTGAACTGGAATTCTAAAGTACCAAAGTTGGTATTAAGGTTAACACTTAAAATAACTTGTAAATAATTCAGAAATTGGTAGCAAATTTCAAATCGGTGTATGGTCTGGGTAAAATTTGCTTTTGAAATGGTTTTGTGAATATTTAACTTACTAATGTAATAGCCTTAATGGAAAATTGTATAAATGTAGTGTGGTCTTATGTTAATGAAAGAAATTTTTTATGAATGATTGTGTTTATTTTATTTTTGTTTAAAATAACGGGAAGTTTCCGTAATTAACGACATTTATATATTTATAAAATAATCTGTCACAAGTGTTAAAAATCATAAACTTTTTCAAAATATTATTGGTCACTTTCTTATAGATTGCATCATTTCTGAGAAAAATCCATCACTTTTGATATAATTTCCCATCATTTTTACCATAAATCATCATTTTTTACGATTATTTATCACTTTTATAAAAAATACTCATAATTTTTCAAACAAATTACTATCACTTCTCAATTAATTCATCATTTTTATCAAAAATGTTGTACATTTTATAAAAATCATATCACTTTCATAAAAAATACTATCACAATTAGACCTAATTCGACTGTATTTCAAAAACAAAATAAAAAAAATAAATATACTTATAAAACTGTTGTCCAAAATTATTACAATTCACCTCGATAAAATTGATGTTTTGAATACGAAAACGGAGTTTTGTAGTTACAGAAAAGTTCTTGAACTGGTTTACAAAAGCGGAGCTTCGAGACAGTGAGTTTTTCGCAACGACATACAGCTGGTAAGATGTGACATATTTGGGGTTTGTTGAGCCACAACGTGATTCCATTGGTGTTGTTTTGTATTTGTATTACTACTACACACAAATGAATCAAACAACTGAACTAATCAAGGACGAAACAATCAAACAACGAATTAGGAAATTGGAGAATTTCTTATTGTATTGAGATTAAAAGAATATTATTAAGCAAGACTATTCGATTTAAGCAACGATGCATGGACTTCCTTAAGTGTCCCACTGCAGTACTATGAATTCACACAAATTCCAGGCCACCACAAATTGTAAGCGGCTGCTATGATGGAAGAGAAGTATTATAAAGATACTAAAAGAGCTGAATTACTGAGAAAGATAGCGAAGGACCTATCAACTTCATTTGAGAAATTGTTTTGGAATGAAGAGAAAGGGTACTTCGTCCAAGTCATTTGGCAGGACAACAAAAGCAGAAAGTGATCGTCGACACATCGACTGCAACTATCGCGTTCAATGACATTGTAACCGATCAAATAAAAATAAAAACACTTTGATAACATCAGAAAGTCCAACATAAAACTTGTATACGGCTTTTCTTGTATTCCACAAGACTCATACTTCTATTCCTCAAAGTAAAATATTGAAAAAAAAAGAAGCTGGTGAAGCAAGTTTAATATGGGAAGAAGCTGTAGACTAAATCACTGGCGCTAATTGAGTCTCAATGCCTGATGTATACAAACACGCAGGTGTGTGCATGTCACGACAGCGCTTCAGAATCAACAACTCTCCACTCTTTAATTATAAGAAGTAGTAATTTAGTAGTTATGTAATTATTGATATACTATAACATGTGTGCTGATTTAAAATAACATAATATTAAAGTATTAAATAATATAAGGTGGGAGGAGTCAACTGATACTCAATGATGATCATTGGAAAATACTTTGCGAGTGTCAAAGATTTCAAAGTTGTTATGATAATCAGTCGAAGATTCAATTTGTTGAGTAAAATGAACCACTTCAATCCACTTTAGTACATTTAACACTCAAGGAAAACAAGTTGTTACCAAACATCGAGACTTACCACCTCTACTCAAAGAGTGATTTTGACACATTATATCCAAAAAGGTCATTTTTGATTTGATGACTCACGAAGACGCATTAGTCTTTCACAGAACATGAAGTGCACAAATGTTGTGTTTGGTCGAGAAGATGTCAACTCTTTGGTGGTGAAATAACAACAAAAGAGGTGCACTCGTTGTCATCTTCATGTTTCAAATCATCAACTGAACAACTACAGTCTGGTCTCAAACGTTATCTGGTATCTTTTGGACCATAAAAATTGGAATATTTCGGGAAGCCGTGCCAAAATCTATCACAATTATTTCGAGTTTTTTCACGTTTTACCTAATGCCTGATATTTAGACAGAATTAAAGCTATTTTTGTCCACCAGATCACGTTTGAGACACGATAACGTTAAAAGACTGACTCTATAACCATTAAAATATAATATTATTAAGTTTTAAAAATAAACATATCATTTTTTAATAGTAATTATATTATTTTTTATAATAAGTTGAAATAATAAATTAACATATTATTGCTATAGTTTATTTTGTTAAAACCTAATTGTTAAAACGTTGGAACTTTTTAATTCAAAATTTTAATGATTACGCCCAAATGTTTGTTCTATTATCTATTATCGTAACATTTTGATGTATTTTATAATTCAGTTGCTATCATTGTTGTAATTAGTATTGTTAATAGACCAATTGGTAATTATCATTGTATATTTATTTGATTATTTATCTTGATACAAACACTTTGTTATTTACTGTATTACATATTCATCAGATCAAATAAATTATAATTAACAATTAGATCAATACTTGTCACTTTAATGATTCATGAACATCTTATACAGTCCCTGAATCGTTTGCTTTGTCTTTGACTATTGCATTGTCTATTTGATAAACTTTATTGTCTTTGAGTAGTCTGTCCTGTTTTTGAGTATTATCTTATGTCTTTGATCATTACATTTCTTCTCTGAGTGTATTATCAAGTCTTTGAACATCGCCTTATGTCTTTGAGCATTACACTCTTTGTGATATCATTGTATTATCGTTGTGAATTGATCGAGTCAAGTGTTATGGATATTGTATTGTGTTATAATTGAAATTGTATTGTAATTAATTATGGTTATTGTTAATAGTATGGTTAATAATATATTAATAATATATATTAATAATAAAATAAGTTATAATTTGAACTATAAGTTTATATTTAGGTTTTTTTAAATATAAATCATGTACTAAACAATTTAATTAATTATTAATACATTATTTCGATTTGTATAGTTTAAAACAATAGTATTGATATTATTTGTTATATAGTATATTTAATAATTAACAAATATTTTTGAGTTTTTGAGTTTGATTATAATTATTTAATATAGTTTTAAAATATAAATAATTAGTTAGCAACGTTAAATATAAATATGAAAATAAACCTTTATTTATTATAATTAATTGTTTTAGAGCATTTTTAATTATTAGTTATTAGCTTTTTAGCTTTATTTTAAGTTGAATAGGTTTATTTTTATACATATTATTAATAAAAATACAATTATTTAATAGATTGTTATTTCATTATTATTTGTGTTATTAAAATGTTATTTGTAACTATCGGTTTGATGTGTAAAACAGTGCTGCATTTGTCACAATTTTTGTGTTAATTTTGGCAATCACAGCAGTAATAAAATATAAACCAATATTTAAGAATTGAATTGGCTTGTTTTCCCATTACTTGGTCAAGTATTGATTCAAATAACTATCTGTTTCTAATTTTTTTCATTTACAAAAGTCGGCTTTAAGCTCGCCGCTAGATCTAAAAGAACTAAGTGTACATAAATTCAAGACCATTTTAATGACGTGGCAAATAACAAAGAAAAAACACTTTTGTCACGTGATAGACCCTGTATAAATATACAATCAAAAAATATAATTATTTTTAAAAATAAATTTAATCAAAGACAAAAACTATTTAACAAGTAATTTTGTTATATATTAATGGTTTATAAAAATTTATCATTTTTTTTTTCATTTTACCATTCAGTTTTCTTTGAAAAACTAATTAAATTTGCATTTTTAATAAAAACCAATAATTTATAACGAAATTACTTGTTGTTTAACATTTGTCTTTGATTAAATTTATTTTTGGAAATAATTATATTTTTAATAATAAAATTATAATAAAAATCTGTTTCGTTATATAGTTTTGATAATGAATAAAAAATGCCGCGGACACGAAAATATAATAATAATAATGCAAAGTGTCCATACCTTACTACAATAGGAAAACGAACCTTAGCTCAGCGAATGTACTTTAGCCCAGAGAAGTACTTATTATTTTCTTTGAAAACTCAATTTTTTACTAAAAAAACAAATATTAAATAAAAATGACTTAAATATATTTATAGTTTATTAGTTTAATATAACAATAAAAAATAATAAGTTTTCTTTGGGCTAAGGCTAATTTACTGGGCGAAATTTATTTATCCTTACTGTTATACTTACAAAAGTAAAAAACAGATACTGCATATATAATTTAAGTTTGATTTTGCATTTTCAATTGTATTAGTACATCCAATGTGATAGTTAAATATGTTCAAATATTAAAGCGAAACAATTACAACTACACTTACACAACCAATACAATAATAATTAATATTATTATAAATTATAGTTAAATACCCAAATAAAACCAATTATTAGGCTTCGCACCCAAGAATTTTATTATCAAAAATTAGTATCGAAAAACGCTAATATAACGGGTCAATTTTTTCAATATAATAATTATATTTAATATGGAATTATTTTATTATTAAAAATTGATACGACTTTTTTCCAACCACTTTATATTATAAAGTTTTTAGAGTTGAATATCATTGATATTTCCTCATTACTATATTAATTTAATATAAAACTATAAATTAATAGTTAATTGTTGAATTAACCATTTAAAGTAAATAAGCAAAGGCGCAGACTGGATGACTTAATTAACGATTTTCTTCACTTGCAAAAGACACGAAGAGCAACTCAAATCTGTCAAACTCGAAAAACCAAAGAAGAGATGCCACATCGGTTGAAGATACGAGTGAAGACCAAAGGCGTTTCGCTGACACTCGACCGAGCCAAATTGGACGTCTCATCAGTGTTCTACTCTTACACATCAGAAAAAAAGGAAAGTCGATTTTCTTTGTCGTCACTGAAACTCACGGACTTGGACAACTTGTCCGAGTGCGCAACTTCGGGGAACAACGAAAGGTGTGTTGACGTCGTCTATCACCACACCGAGAACTCACAATGCGAAGTCGTCTTCTATTCTTTGACACTCCAGTTGGTCCCCCAATTTCTGAAACGCGTGATCAAGTCGGTCCGCCCGGTTACTGAAAGATACTCAAAAGCTGACGGAGAGAATTTTGATAATATTACTCAGAAAAATGAAGTACAAGATGCGAAGATAAATCAGTCTCAAAACACCACTAAAATTGTGACACGAAAGAACTTCCATTTCACGTTTGATACCACTCAGATCATCTTTAAGAACTATTGCGGTAATAAATTGGTCCTCAGCACCAGTTTTGAAGGAAACGTTTACATTCAAAATGGTCTCCCGGACTCTGCGGGGGTTTTAGTAAAAACGACGAAACTTTCCAGTTCGATGCAAGGGCGGGACAACAGTTCCGATATAGCATTAGTCGACCTCTTGAGTATCTCCGTCAAATTTCAAGAGCCGCCGGTCGCCAATTTTGCGCTTTCTGATTTCCAAAGCCGCGTCTCAAATCGGGACTTAGAGAACACCACCAAATTACTGAACGAGTTGAACGACGCACTGAAACAAATTGCGTCGTCTCAGAACACTGCGGAAGTCAAAGTCGAACAGCACAAGGCGACGCGGGGACTCAAATTTGCACAGAAAAATGTGAGAGAAAAAGCAGCAAAAAGAAAACCATTTTTGTTTAAGAACATGCGAGTTGCGCTGTCGATGAGGAGCATCAAATTGGACTTCTTTTCAGAGGTCGTTTCTACGGAAGGAAAGACGGTGGAGAAACTGCCTGGACTTATCTTCACATGCGACGCGATTTCGGGGGAGGTCGAAGAGAGAAAAGTGTCGGTGAAGGTCAGCAAAGGAAGTTTGGAGTACGTCAATCGCAGTTTGAAGAAGAACGATTGGGTCAAGGAACCATTTATAGAACCATTTGATGTAGTTGTTGACGGGGAGCTGCCAAACTGTCACATAGAAATTAGTCCACAAGAGATGCTGGTGATTAATATAACGCCAGAATTTATTTTGGTCTTGAACGAAATAGCGAAGAACTGGTCGAAAGACGTCACATCTGAATTTTACAATAACAAAGGGAAGTGTGTGATTCAGAACTCCACTGGAAGTGTTTTAAAGTTGTTTTTAGACAACAGAAGTGTTGAAGTTGTGAGTGGCGAGACGAAAGAAGTTCAATTGATTTTGGAGAGGAACTTTTCAGTGCAACTTGACGAATTTGACACGATCAGAATTGACGACTTCAACGACACAAGGAAAAGTAAGAAGGCGTTTGCCGTGACCAAAAGTGGGTCAGTTGCCGGGGCGATACTTGTGAAAACAAAATTGTCCCAGAAATATCAAAGTGTCCAATTTCTGTCGCCCGTCATTTTTATAAATACGACGTCCGTTCCGCTTGACGTGGTGTGGAGAAACAATACCATCAAAATGGTACCAAACATTCAAATGGGGATGTCGATTTCAATGGGGTTAAATCCCTTCAATTTCATCGTCCAACACAGAACTTCGGTTACTAAGAAAGCTGCATTTTCACAAGATAAGTCACTTTTTACACGGACATTTCGAGAAAGAAGCGTGAGTATTTCTCCTATAGAAATTGAGAGTTTCATGAACTTACGCTTCAAATCGAAGAGCTCAGTAAAGTTCTTTGAGTGTTTTGTGACGCCAATGGTCGTCGAATTTAACGCGCCGTTCACGTTTGTTAACACGACGCCACTCGAATTGAAAATCACTGCGTTCAGAATGGCGGAGGACAACACCCAACACCACGTCCAGTCGAGAGACCGAGCACTTTCTGGAGGAAATCTCAATATAAAAATGTCGCACAAAAGTGCACATCAGAGCAAAAGACTGTCCGCAAAAATCCAGACGACTACACATACAACTACTCCACAAGAAGTCGCTCGTCACTCTGAAAGTGCCAGAAATTTAAATCGAACGGCAATGTCCTCGAAATGTGATGTCCAAAATATGGGTCAAAAATTGGGGGAGATCTCCACACCACGACGGGCAAGTTTTCTGAAAACACCATCAAAACGATTACCCCCACCGCCGGTGAATATTTCAAAGACACAAGTCACCCGGAACCGCGCGTCGTCGTTCACAAAGACAGTGACTAAAAGTCCATCGCCGCACTTCTTACCGCAGTTCCTTGCGGACTCTTTTCTGTTTGACGAATTTGACAGAAACGTGAAAAACGGGAAGTTCCAAAACACTGAAAGTGTTGCTGTGAGTAAATATTCGAAGGGGAAGATTTGTGTAGCGCCGTCGAATGAGAAGATTTTTTATTTCGTTGAAATTGAAAAGTGCGACGACAACTTCGTATTTCCAACTAACGAGAAGAGAAGCGCAGTTCTGAAATACTCCAAGAGCGAAAATGCAAAGAATGAAATAAAGACCATCTCGTTCGGGTCACACCATTTGACACAGCGTGTCGGGGAAAGTGGGGAAATATTCATTGAGTGTCCGTTCTATGTCAAAAACCTCACCAAAACGCCAAAAGTTGTGAGAGGAATTGGGCGCATCGATGTCACCGACAAGTTCTTCCTGTACGCCCCAGACCCACAAAGTCCTCTTGCGACGAAAATTGAGTTTTTAGAAAGAAAAGTTGGACCGGGTAAATCAAAGTCGAGTATTGAGCCTACGAACATCCAACTTGGGGAGACGAAAGTTGTGCGAATAGAGGACGAGGTGCTTTCTATAACAACAACTCCTTTTATTGAAAGTCAGTACGCGACACAGTCCATCTGCGTGTCTATCAAAAATCGCTATATACTCAAAAACATGACGGAAGAGATGTTTGTTGTGGACTTCAAAGAACGATTTCAACCTCACGATGAAATGTTTGTCCAGCGCGGGTCTGTGAATATCGCACTTTTCATTGCGAGTGAAAAGGATTGCCAAAACAACACTCAAAATTCCACAAAAGTGCTTTTAGACAAAGCCGATGCCTACCAAGTCTTCTTCAAGACGAAGTCGTCTGGTAAAATCTTTTCGCTGCAGACCAGTGAAGAGCGTGGAATGTTCATCACGAGTATTTGTGGGTGTGATGTCCCGCTGTTACACATTGAGAATTTGACGAATGAAGTTGTCGAGTTAAAGCAGCGTGAGACGAAGACGACGTTCAAATCGAATCCTCAAAGTGTTATTCCATTTGCGTGGGTGTCACCATCGTTAAGTCGTGAGATCATTTTAGAAGGCGTTTCCATCAATCCATTAAAACTCGAGAACGATTACTTCTTCTTTTCAACACAACAGAATTCCACAACACCACTCAAAACTACGAGAATTCGTGTTCTTCTCGAAGCAGACAAAAACTCGACATTTCTGGTCATCGGCGCGGCGGAGAAAGTCAACGAGCAACTTCATCTTTCTCTCACGTTTGTGCTGTCGAATTTGAATATTTCAATTTTCAGAGCGAACGCCGTGGAGGAGATTTCCGTCTCGATTTTTGGGGTCAAATGCGCTGTAATGCAAATGGAGAAGCACATTGGGGTGGAGTGCCAGTTCGACTATTTTCAGGCGGATTTCAACAACTTTGAAGTGAACGCGGCGCCCGTTTTAATCTCGCCGCGGCCATTGGAATGGATCCATAATAACCGAATTCCTTTATTTCACGTTGGTGCGCTGTTAACGACGCAAAAAACAAGTACTTCTGAGAACGTCGTATTTCTCACGTGTTTGACGGTGACGTTGCAGCCGATTGAGATGCTTGTAGAGATCGACGTCCTCAGAGACTTGCTTGACACGTTTTACATGTACCCGCCCATAGAATTTATTGTGAAGAATGAGGAGAAAGAGGTGACTAAAGAGACGTGGATATTTGTGGAGAAAGTTGTGATCAATTCGATTGATGTCAACGTCACACTGAAAAACGGACTGTTTGAATATGATGAGGAGTACGACGCGGTGAAAATCGTGACAAGCGTAGTGGAGAGCGGAGTCGACCGAATTCCAATATGCATTGAAAAACACACACTTGAGAATTTGTACGTCTCGAGCAGCACGTTGTGGACGAGAATTGGGAATAAAGTATTCGGCGATTTGGACCAACTGAAGTGGACGTTTGTGACGCGTCTTGTAGGCTTCCGGTCGGTGGGGACGAATTATACAATAGAGAAACGAGAGGATTTCCATCTGAGTGATATTCCGGACTTGGACGAGAAGCAAAAGAGACTTCTTGAGATTCAATTTACTCGCGCTGAAGTTTCAAGAAGAAGTTGTTCTCAGTCCATTCCGACGCAGTTGTATGAAGCGGAGAAAAACACGTTTGAGTATGCGATATTGGACGGGACCAAGAACTTAGGAACTTCCGTCTATCGCTCGGTGAAAGGCATTTACAGCACATCAGTGGGGCTCAGTGGAATAGCTGAAAGTACCACAAAAGTGAATGCGCCATTTCTATTCATGGGAGGGTTGTTCTTGGGAGCGGCGGGAGTTTTTGTTCGGCCATTTGATGGGGTTTTTGGGCTGTTTAAAAGCTTCTCCGACGGCATTTCGGGGAAGAGCTTTGGCCAAATAGCGACGGAAAGGATTCGCCCGCCACGGTATTGTCCGGGGCAAGTCATTGAATTGAATTTGAACGCGGCGGTGGGGTGGAGTGTGTTAATGGAGTTAGAGGGAGGAGCGTTTAGAACGATGCAGTACAAGACGTGGATGAAAAAAGTCGAAGGAAAGATGTTACGAGGAATTGTATTTACAGAGGAGGTGATGATCGGGTTTGAAAAGAGGAGCGGAACACAAGCAAATTTCCTCTGGAAAATTTTGTATGACAAAATCGGGTCGATGGGAAATGATGGGAAGAACATCGTCGTCTCACTGAAGACTAATATCAAGACGGGAATGTTCTTCCATAGAAATGATCGATTTGTGTTACAAAACTGGGGCGTCGAGTCACTGCCAGTTATCAATAAAATCATTCTCGCTATAATGAATAAACAATGAGGAAATTATAATAAAATGGTGTATTTATATACTAATATATTTTAACCAATTTGAGAAGTTATTTAATAGCTGTTCGGGGACTTTATAGTCCCTTTGAAAATCGCCGACTTTTCAGTGGTCTTAAAAGTCGCTGACCTAAATATTTAGTTAAATAACTATTCAAAATACCATTTATCATGTAAAAGATATTGAAAAAATAAACCATATAAATTTAATATAATTATTATTAAAAAAAGAAATGAAAAAATACCGTCCCAATTATATCTTCTCAAATCATTTTTTAAATTATATTTATATGATTATAATATAACAAATTATAACAACTATTGTGTTTTTACACATTTTTGAGACTATAATGAATATGGTATAATTTATTAAAGTTAATAGTTATTTAGTTCTAAAAGAAGTCGGCGACTTTTCAGTAATATCAAAAGTCGCCGAACAGCCATAAACACCTTATAGTTAATTAACTATAGTTGACAACAAACTATAATTTAACTAATTCAATTATAATAAATATATTCATTTGTTAATTATAATTGAAATAATTTAATTAATTATAATATTTAAGTAACGCTTAAGTAAAAAAACTCAATATTTTTATTAATATAATTAGTTAAAATTATTGGTTAATTATATAGTTTATAGACATGTAAAAATATAATAATATCGATTATTAATAAATGATTTTAATATAGTAATAAATTGGTAGTAATAATAGTATTTTTTTTACTAAATATTAATATTTTAATAGTTAATTTCATAGTAAAAAATATAGTAATTTAATAGTAATTTAACAGTACAATATATAGTAAAATGTATAGTAAAAAGATGTTATAATTTTGTATTATAATTATAGTAAAACTAAATAGTTTTATTAATAATATAATATTAAATGATAATTATAATTTATAATTTATATTATAAAAAATAATAAAAAGTGTATTCATTTTTATATCGATAATGTTTCGTTATTCGAAAATCAACAAATTTGAAATTATGATGAAAAAACTGTTATTGTATATAGATTAAATATATTAATATTTTATTAATAATATATATTAATTATAATGTGTCAAATACA